CAATGAGAACCTATCAGGAATCCAGGAACTTGTAGGACCCCTAGGAATTCCTCAGATTCCCTATGAGGCCCTCTCAGGAATCTGAGAATTGGTAGGACCCCCAGGAATTCCTCAGATTCCTTAGCATGCCCTCTCAGGAATCTGGGAATTGGTGGGATCCCTAATAATTCCCCAGATTCTTTAGGATGCCCTCTCAGGAATCGGGGAATTGGTGGCGTCTTTCGAAATTCCTCAGATCCCCTATGATGCCCTCTCAGGAATCTGCGAATTGGTCGGACCACTGGGAATTCCTCTGATTCCTTAGGATGCTCTCTCAGGAATCTGGGAATTGGTAGGACCCCATCGGAATCCCTGTGATTCCTTAAGATGGCCTTCTCAGGAATCTGGGAATTGGTGGGACCCCTAGGAATTCCTCAGATTCCCTACGAGGCCCTCTCAAGAATCTGGGCATTGGTAGGACCACTAGGAATTCCTTAGATTCCTTAGGGTGCCTTCTCAAGAATCTGCGAACTGGTAAGATCCATAGGAATTCCTCTGATTCCTTAGGATGCCCTCTCAGGAATCTGGGGCTTGGTAGGACCCCTAAGAATTCCTCAGATTCCTCAGGATGTCCTCTCAGGATTATGGGAATTGGTCAGATCCCTGGGAATTCCTCCGATTCCTTGGCTGGGTTTCGGACCAGTCGGTTGGGATTGGGCCTACATGATTCGTGTGGCTCCCCCAGGAATCTCCAGGGGCCCTCAAAGATCCTCGGGGCTCCTCAAAATTTTCCCGGAACCGTAAGGAAGACGAAGAGGGAGGGGGAGGAGGAGGGGGGGGGAGGGGGAGGAGGAGGGGGAGGGGGGAGGAGCAGAGACGATGGAAGGAAGACGAGCCGGGGGAGGAGGGGGAGAAGGGGCCGATATTTAAAGGAGCCCTGCCAGACAGCACGCGCACGCGATGTTTGGTCGTCGGCCATGTCCAACGCAGCTCGAAAAACTGGTTCGGATAGGCCCTGGGAGGTGCCTTTGGAAGGATTATCACTGGATTGAAAGACGACGACGTCGTCGTCGTCACCGCCGCCGCCGCCGGCGCCGAGCGCCCGCGCGCGCCTGCTCCACGCGCGCCCGCGGCGGAGGAGGGGGAGGAGAAGGATAGTGGAGGGAGGAGGGAGGGGGGAGGAGGGGGACAAGGGGGGAGGAGGACGAGGAGGGAGGGAGGGATGGGGGATAGGGACGTTGAGAAAAAGGATAACATGAAGGGAGACGGGAATGGGATGAGGAGGGGCGGGCGCTGGCAGGATGAAGGGTGAGGGGCTGGAACAAGGAAAGGGAGTGAGGGAGGAATGGGGGCAGGCACGAGGGGCAAAAAAGCGAAGGAGCGAAGGAGGGGAGGGAGGGAGGGGAAGATCGGCGAGGGCGCCCGAGGGCCGGCGAGGCCGCGCGATGGCCTCCGAGGGCCTCCTCCTCCTCCTCCTCCTCCTCCTCCTCCTCCTCCTCCTCCTCCTCCTCCTCCTCCTCCTCGTCCTCCTCCTCCTCCTCCTCCTCCTCCTCCTCCTCCTCCTCCTCTTGCCTCCTCCTCCTCCTCCTCCTCCTCCTCCTCCTCCTCCTCCTCCTCCTGAAGAGACGCCATGGGTGCCGGAGGCTTCTGAGGGCCAGCGAAGGCTTTCGAGGGCATTCCAGGGTCTCCGCAGGCGTTTCGAGGCCTCCGCGCAACCCTTTGCACGGAAAGCATCGGCTCGAAACAACCCCCGCGCAACCATGGCCTCGGATAGCTTCGCGACGGCCGCAGATAGCCGAGGATAGCTTGGCCACGGCCTCGGATAGCTATAAGTGGCTTGGAAACGGCCTCCCTCCGCGCAGCCCTTTCCATGGATAGCCTTGCCGCGGCTTCGGATAGCCTTGGAACTGTCTCGAAACAGCCTCCGCCCAACCATGGCCTCGGATAGCCTCGAAGCGGCCTCGGATAGCCCAGGATAGCCTGGAAACTGCCTCGGATGGCTTAGAAGTGCCCTGGAAGCGGTCGCCGCGCAAGCCTTTCCACGGATACCCTTGCAACGGCTTCGGATAGCCTGAGGCTCCTGTTCCGTATGCATGATGGCTCAATCCAGCGAGTTCGCTCGATCCCCCGCGGATGCCGAAACAATGAAGTCACAGGCCCAAGGCCGTAGGGTAGCAGCTGCTAGCGTTGTCCTCGTTGCGCTCGCTGGCAGCCTTCTGCCAGCCAGCGACGAGGCACGCAGGAACGCAGAGGTGCCAGCCTCAGGCGCTGTGGCGCGCGACTCTGAGACGGGTGGGATGCGAGAAGATCCCATTGAAGCCTTTCGATTTCGAGGCGGCCATCCAGGCCAGGAACAGAAGGCTTTAGAGGACGCAGGAGCAGGGTTTGGGGCCAGCGCTGGTTTGTCAAATTCGCGGGCGCTGTTCTGTCTGTTCGGGGTTTGTCCGCGCGCGCGGGCGCCCCCCGAGCTCGCCGACAGACGCCCCGAAGCGACGCTCGCGCATCGCTGGCCCCGAGCCCTGCGCGGGAGCCCGTGCGATGGAGGAGGAGATGCAAGCATCTCTCTCGTACTTCGAAGAAACGGCCGCCGTCGATCGCGACACTCCCAGAGATGGGCCTCGTCTGTTCCATGCGCTGAAATCTGGGGGGCTGTTTGCCCAGAAGGAGCTCGGCGATGTGTGTCTGGCCGTTGCAGAGTTGCGAAAGATGGCGGTCAACGAGGCCACCGAAGAGCAGATGGCTCTCGCTGCTGCGACGAACGACACCCCCATGTCCACGGCCGAGTACGCCCCGGGCATGAGGAATGGGGACTGGGGCGACAACATGATGCTCGCGTGCTTGGCGCGGGCGCTCAACAAGCGCATCGCGGTCATTTCTAAGGGCGCCGCCCGCACGCTCCTGCCAAATGGCGAGGTCCTCGGGGTTTGGGATGAGGCCGCTCGGGTGGCCCATCACAACGAACTCCACTACTTCGGCGTCAGGCGCACGGGCCGAGGGCATCAGCCAGACGCGGAGCCGAGGAAGCGCTTGATCGGGAAGAAGCGGGGCACCGCCTTCGACGTGCGCCTGCGGCCGGACCGCATCGGGAAGACACGGATGCCGCGGATGGCCCAGCGACTCGCGGATTGCCATATTTTCAGGAAGGGGGGCAAGAAGAGACAGCACGGGGGAAAGGGGGGCGAGGACGAGGACATGGACGAGGAGCAGGCGGGCCAGCACGAGAAAGACGCTTCTGAGATGCCCGAGTGGAGGAATGTGCCGTGCACCCGCGATTGCCAATGCAGTCCTGGGCGAGACGCTCGAGGCAGGCGACTGCGCCCAAGGGGCAGGGGCAAGACATCTCGCGGGCAGGGCCTCTGGAGCTTGCTCGTCGGGAAGGATTCCGAGACTCGCCTCTTCGAGTGGTGCGTCAAGGCTGGCTTCCTGACAGACGAGAGGCAGGCCGGCGGCCCCTGCCCCACATGCGGCCTGGAGACCCAGTGGGACCTTGATTCGGGCAGGCAGGGATCGGGGTGCTATTACGCGTGCTCGAGGAGATCTCGTCGGCACAGAGAGTCGGTGACGGAACGGGAGCCAGGACTCTTCCTCCGAAGGGTGCAGCTGTCCAAGCAAATGATGGCCGTGTTCATCTTCGTCTACCACGACCAGCCCGGGGCTGACAAGCTGGCGCACACCGCTGAGATAGACGAGCACGTACGTGGTTACCGCCCTCATCAACAGCTGAAGGCAGGTTGCCACGTGGTGGATGCTCAAAGCAAACATGGCGTTGCAGTGCGAGGCCGGAGGAGTGGGGGGGGATGGGGGTGTTTCCTGCGCGCCATGCATGACAATGATCCTGGTAAAAGCGTCATCGTTGTCACCCATCGCCATTGGCCAGAAACGCCACTGAGTTCCGGGACCAAGTAGTTGAGAGGTCCACGGATTGAAGGAGAAGAATGCGTCACAACAAAAAAAAACACCTCATCTAGGGGAGGGGGGAAGCAGGAGGAGGAAGAGGCTCTGGGTGACAACGATGACGCTTCGCAGGTGGGTGGCCTGAACGAGGACGCGGAAGCGGACGAGGTGAGCTTCCGCTGCACTCCAACGGAACAGGACGGGGAGGCAAAGATGAGTTGGGCGCGATTTCTCGGAGTCGTTCGGCGGGGCAGCTCCTTGTACTACTGGGGCGAGCTGGAAATCAGGACGACGGCTGCCAAGAAGGGTGGCGGCGGGAAGCTGGGGACGGATGAGTGGGAACATCACATGTTGCACAGAGGCGCAGATTGGGGCTACCAGTCGCGACCGCTCCTATGTCCTGGGTCTGTGTTCCACACCGACACGGCGTCCACGTACATGCAGTGCCACAGGAGGCATCGGGGCCCCCGCTCCCGCCACCTTGGCTTCTGGGTCACGCAAGCGCGCCACAGCAGGAAAAAAGGCCCGATGGAAAGTGGCGCCCTCGACAATTCGCAATGCGCAAAAAAGTGCAACTTCTGTCGGGCGAGTGGACGTGGCGAGAAGGCGGGACGCAGAAGAAGGACGGTTCCTGGCCATTGTGTCGGAAACACGTGAGTCGTCGCGCCGTGCCCAGCTACAGCTCCTCCGTGCTGCGACAGATGGCGTACTTCTACCAGTGGCTGCACTGGAAGAGCGCGGACCCCCTTCCGGACGCATTGCGGGGTCGCCGCACGAACGGCCAGGTCACGGACATGGTGGCGGCCATGGGGCGGCTCCGCGGCCGTCTGAAGGACGCAGTCCGGGAGGCGGCTCTGGCAGGCGCAGGAGACGCCTGGTTCGAGGCTGTCGTGGCGCGGCGCAGCGAAAGGATGCGGGTTTTCCCCGCGAAGAAGAAGCTGACTAGCAAGTGTCCACCCAGCAAGAGGAGGACCAGCAAGCGAGGCGACCAGGCGTAGGACCAAATCTGCTCGAGCCGATGAAAACGCACACGCTACCGCTATGATTACGATTGCGAGCAGGATTCGATGCTTGTCTTATGACTGTCAGATTTGTCAATGATTCCCGTGATTGCCTTATGTTTTCTGTCATGCGTTTCCTGTGATTGTCCTATGTTTGTCCGGTGTTTCCTCTGCAGGTCCTCTGCTGTTCCTATGCGTTTCCTATGTTGACATATGCCTGGCATATGTTGTCCTATGACGTTCGCACGCGTTGCCTATGCAGTTTCTATGATGTTCCTATGGTGTTCCTATGTTTGCCTATGTTTGTCGTATATGTTTCCTATGTATGTCCGGGGGTGTTCCCATAATACTCGTATGTTTTCGTATGATTGTCCTATGTTGTTCCAATGTGTACCAGATGTTTTCCCAATGCTTGTCGTATGTTTTTCTATGTGTCGTCCTATGCTTGTCCTGTGGTTTTCCTATGATTATCCTATGTGTTTCCTGTGTTTGTTCTACGTGTTCTTGTGCTGTCCTTTGTGTTTCCAATGCTTGCCCGTGTTTTCCTTACGCGTTGCCTATGTTATTTCATATGTTGTTCCTGCGTGTTCTTGTGCTGTCATGTGTTGTTCCCCTACGCGGTTCCGATGCTTGTCCTGTGTTTTTGTCCTATGACTGTCCGATGTTGTTCCTACGTTGTCCTGTGTTTCCTACGCTTGTCCTACATGTTCAAGTGTTTTTCCTACGTTCCCCGATGTTTGCCCGATGTTTTTCCTACGGTAACCTGTGCCTTCCTATGCGTGCCCCATGCATTGCCTATGGTTTCCGATGTTTGTCGTATGATGTTCTTATGAGTTTCCTATGCAACCCTATGTTTGTCCTACGTTGTCCTGTGTTTTCGTATGCTGCTCCTATGTTTGTCCTGTGCTTTGCGGAGGCGTCTTGAATCCGGGCGAGGGATAGCCAGAGGCTTCTACAGAAAATCGACGCCCGAGGAAGCCAGGGATGATTGGGAGACCTTAAGGGGGGCCAGAGAGTGAGTGTGGCAGGGGTGAGAAAAAGTCGCGCGTAGCGTTAAAAAGGTTTTGATGGGAGGCGCATTGAATCCCGGACCCGCTTTTTATATATATATATATATATATATATAAAATAAAAAAGGGGTCGAGCCCTTTAAATTGAAAAACGAAATAATTGCCGGAGAGGGGACCAACAATCTGTATTCTTCAGAAGTGCAAACTGAGCAACAGCAACAACAATCATTCTAAGACTGTTCGCTCTCACTTGCCCGCGTGTCACTCAAAACGAATTCCCCACACCCTCGATACCCGCCCTCTTTGTCTTCGATCACACCCCCCTTGGGGGGATTATTTCTCTTTGCGGGGGGCGGCGGGCTTAGACAGGCGGGCAAACCTGAACGGGCGGACAATCCTTCGTGGGCGTACATGTACCCGCCATTGGAATTGGTGTGGGCCCTGCAACCAGAGGAGTGGGAGAACGAGGGAAAGTGGGAGGAAGAGAGGGGCAGGGACGAAGGAAGAGGGAAAACGCCAGGAGAGAAGGAGCGAAGAGAGGGGCGGTTTAGAGGCAGAGAGAGAGAGAAAGACAGATAAGAGAGGTAGAGAAAGAGAGAGAGAGAGAGGGGAGAAATAGAGAGAGAGAGGAAAAAAAAAAAAAAAAAAAAAAAAAACGGAGGGAGGAGGCAGGAGAGGGAGGGAGAAGGGAGGAGGGAGAGGAGGGAGAGGGAATAGGGCAGAGAGGCATAAGGATGAGGGAAGAGAGGAGGGAGAGAAAAGGAAGGAGAGGAGGGAGGGAGGAGGGAGAGGGAGGAGGAGCAGGAAGGTAAGAGCGTGAACGTTCGAGGAAGTCCAAGGCGAAAGCGCCGTTCCTGAAGGAAGTCTCGGGCGGGAGCCCACGACGAGCGGGCGATCCCCTGACGGGCGGGTCGGGCGGGTGGGACATTCAAGCGGGATGCCTGAGTATGGCGAGAGCGCGACTACTAAGTAAATTGCAACGGCGTCCTTGGCGCAGCGTGTTCCCTGAGCGTCGAAAGCGAGATTTCTGAATACATTGCATGGAAGTCACAGGCGAGAGCGCAATTCCTGAATAAAATGTGAAGGGTGAGTAAATCGCGAGGAAGTCTTGATTCAATTGCGAGGGAGTCTGAAGCGGGAGCGCCGTTCCTGAGTAAAGTGTGAGGAAGTCTCAGGTGGGAGCGGGGGTCCTGACTAAATTGCGAGGACGTCACAAGCGGGAGCACCGATTCTGAGTAAATTGTGAGGAAGTCTCAGAAGCGGGGGTCCTGAGTAAATTTTGAGGAAGTCTCAGGCGGGAGCCGTTGATCTTGTAATCCCGGGGGCCATGGGCCCAGTTTGAGCATCAAGACGTTCCCTGTCAAAAAACAGGGTGCAAGCGTCGAGGGGCACACTTTGATTTCGAAAAAAACAGTGTGCACCAGTGGGGGGATCAACAATAATTATTCTTCAGAAATGAGAGTTCAACAGCAACAGCAACAACAACGACAACAGTTTAAGATTGTTCGCTCTTCACTGCGCGTGGGCCATTCAACACGTATATCCCAAACCCTCGATACAGGCCCTCTTGGTGTTCGATTGTACCCCCTTATGGGGTATGTCTTTCTTACCTGCAGCGTGTATTTCGTGCAGCCCCTAAAGCAGGGGAAGAGAGGACGGATGAAAGGAAGGGACAAGGGGTAGGGCGGAGGATGCAGCACGAGAGAGCGTAGCAGGAGGGGGGCTAGGAGCAGAAAACACGTGGAGGAACCAAACGGCGTGTAGACCCTAACAGGCGGGTCGGAAGGCGGGCCCAGGCGGCCAGGTCGAGCAGGCTGGTTGCTGTCCTGCATGAATCGCGAGGAAGTCTCGAGCGATAGCACGATTCCCAATAGAGGGGGGGTACCAAAGTACTTGTTCTGCACAAAAGAACCTGGAACTGCAGCAAAACAAACACAAGCATGGAACTGCACGGGGACAAAGCAAAGCACAAGCATGGAACTGCGGCAAAAGATTGCACGTCCAGTCCTTCAATTTGGGAACCTCTCAAGCTGGAGACCCATTGTGTACAGGAACCGCCCTTCATTATTGCAGCTGTTGGATAATTCCAAGCGTTAGTTTTAAAATGTGAGGACTTCTTAAGCGACAGCCCCGTGTTGACAAGGACCCGTCCTCTGTCGTTGTAGCTGCTGCAAGTTCTTCAAACGAATGTGCGCGCGCTAAGGTGAGAACCACATGTTGAATGTTGAAAAGCACTGACATCCATCCCTGAAACGACTGCGAATTATCAGTCGCCTCATGTTAACAGCAGACTGGTCACCGTCCCTGAAAATGCTGCTGAGACAAATTCGCGCGGCGCCAAAGCCAGAGCCGCATGTTGAAGACCTCCAGCTCCTCATCCGCGCAACTGCTGCAAACTTGCAAGCCGATTGTGCGCCGCGCCGAAGTGAAAGCCGCCAAGCCACTCCTCAAAACTGCGAGAGCCCAGATTTTGAAAATTCACCAGCCCTCCCTCCTTGAAACTACTGTAGCGTTGTTTTTTCAGGATACTGCGACGAGACCTATCAAGCGAAACGCCCGGCCCGCCCTACGGACACGACTGGTGGTGCGACAGGAGGAGTCAGTTACAATGGAAACGGATGGATGAAGGGGAGCAGCAGCAGTAGCAGCAGGTGGGAGACGAGGAGCAGGCTGTCAGGGGCTTCTGGACGACACTTTGTACTCTAGTGGCTTTGGGGGAAAAGAGCCGCCGTCGTTGTCGTCGACATCGTCACCACCACCATCATGACTACCACCACCACCATCATCAACACCACCATCACCATCGTCATTGTCATCACCACCGGCACCACTACCACCGCTCCTCCTACCCCCCAAACAGCCGACGTCATGTTTTCCCACAACGAGGACCCCCAGGGACCAGCTTTTCATCCTGAGTTGCATTTATCGGCCACGAGGCCTGATCATGGCCATCGAAAGCCGAAAATGGCAAAACAAACTTCCGTCGCATGTTTGTTCACGTCGCCAGGGGGTCTGGGCCCCCTCCCTCCTCACTCAAAATTATTCCTCCCTTGTCGCTCCTCGTTCCCTGGAGCCGAGGGGCAGATCGCCCGCAGCGGTCGATGTTGGCCGCAAGGGTCGCGTCCAGCTCGTACCTCTTGATCACATCTTGGAACGACTTGCACGGCAGCTGGGGGTGCGGAGGATAGAGGACATGATGCGACCAAACGTCTTATAACACCATCAAGTTGGGCAGGGACAACGTAAAAAATACTAATAAAAAAACTGGAAAAAACAAAAACGTCTGGATCGTCATTACTAGCCTCATCAGCATGATCATCATCAGCAGCATCAGCAGCGGCATCAGCACTCGCATCAGCATCAGCATCCTAAGCAGCATCAGCATCAACATCAGCATCACCAGCGGCATAATCATCAAAAGCAGCATCATCGTAATCCTCATGGTCATCCTCATCACCACCACCACCAGCATCACCATCATGATCATCATCATCAGCAGCAGCAGCAGCATCATCACCATCGCCATCATCAGCATCATCCTCAGCTTCGTCATTAACAGTATCTATCGTCGTCGTCAGCATTATCATGATCAGCATCATCAGCATCGTCATGAGCAGCATCATCCTCGTCATCGTCCAACTCATCATCCGCCTCCTCCTCCTCCTCCTCCTCCTCCTCCTCCTCCTCATCATCATCATCATCATCATCATCATCATCATCGTCATCATCATCATCATCATCATCATCATCATCATCATCAACAGCAGCATTGTCACCACCGTCATCAGCATCCTCATCATCATCAGCATCAGCATCAACATCATCATCACCGTCCTCATCATCAACATCATCATATAAGCAGCAGTATCATCATCATCTGAAAAAAACATCAACATCATCGACAGCATCAGTATCATCAGCATCGCATTCAGCATCATCATCATCATTATCAATAAAAATCATCGGCATCGTCAACGATAAAGTATCATCATCACCAGCAGCAGCATCAACTAATCAGCATCAGCAGCATAATCCTCACAATCACCATCACAATCGCCCATCATCACCATCATCATCGTCAGCATCAGCATCATCAGCATCGCCAGCAGCACATCATCCAAATCAGCATCATCACCATCATCAACATCATCAGAAGAATCATCCTCATCATCACCGCCAACAGCATCATCACCAGCTGCAGCATCATCATCGCCATCAACAGCATCAGCATTATCATCATCAGCATCATCAGCAGCACCATCATCAGCATCATCGTGATCGTCATCATCAGCATAATCAGAATCATCATAATTAGTATCATGATCATCATCATCACCACCACTAGCATCATCATCATCATCATCATCATCATCATCATCCTCATCATCAGCATCATCAGCATCATCATCATCCTGCCTCCTGCCTCCTGCCTCGTACCTCCTGCCTCCTGCCTCCTGCCTCCTGCCTCATCCTGCCTCCTCTTCCACCTCCTGCATATTCTCCTCATCATCATCCCCCTTCTCCCTCCTCCCCATTCCCCCTTCGATTCCGCCTGTTCTTCCTCGTCATCACTCACTCACCCACTCACTCACTCACTCACTCACTCGCTCACTCGCTCACTCACCCACTCACTCACTCACTCACTCACTCCTCCTCATCCTCCTGTTCCTTTTCGCCTCTGCAGCGGGAACGGGGAACGGGAGCGGCAGGGGGAGGTGAGGTCCGGCACAAGGCGGGCGGGGAGGGGAGGGAGGGGCAAGGGCGGAGGGGCGAGGGCGGAGGCGAGGAAGGGGCGAGGAGGAGCGAGGAGCGAGAAGCGAGGAGGAGCGAGGAGGAGGGAGGAGGAGGGAGGAAGAGGGGGGAAGAGCGAGGAGGAGCGAGGAGAAGGGAGGAGGAGCGAGGAGGAGGGAGGAGAAGCGAGGAGCGAGAAGCGTGGTGCGCGCCGCTCCTCGTCGCCCTTCCCGCCGCGGCGGTCCACGTCGACCTTGTCGTACATGTCGAAGTTGATCCTGCAGTGAGGGGCGGGGGAAGAGCGGGGGAGAAGGACAGGAGGGAAGGACGGGAGGAGAAGAGCGGAGGAGAGGTGAGAAGGAGGAGGAGGAGGAGGAGGAGGAACAGGAGGAGGAGGAAGAGGAGGCGCGGGAAGGGAGGACAGGGCAGGGGAGAGGGAGGGGGGAGGGGCAAGCTGGGTGCGCTCGAGCCATGTCTGACATCCTATCTCTCCCGTCCATCCTTTCTCATTGCGCCTTCCCTATCCTCGGGCGCGTGTCGTAGCAGATCTGGAACTCCACCAAAAGACCTCATCCTTCTATGCGCAGTCGGAAAAGGGAAAACTTTTGGGACCTGTGCGACCTGGGGGGCCTCTGCGGCCTGCGGGGCCTGCGAGACCTGCGAGACCCGGGCCCGACGGCACGGCGGAATCTGCAGGACACGTGGGAACCGGGGCACTTCCGTGGGACCTGTGAGACACACGACACCTCTGGGACCCGCGGGACCAACGGGACCCGTCGAACCTGCTGGACCTGTTAGGCATGCGAGGCCTGCGAAACATGCGGGACTTGCGGGACCCGTGGAGCCTGTCAGTCCTGTGGGACCTGCGGGGCGACCTGCGACGCTTGTGGGACACCTGTGGGGACCTGTTGGACCTCTGGTGCATGCGAGACCTGCGGGACCTGTGGGATCCAGAAAAGTAACCCACGCTGGGACGGGAGTGCCATTCTGAACAACGGGAGCACAGCGGCGATCCGAAAATGAGGCCCACGCAGCGAGAGCACGCTTTGTGATCCACACTAAGCAATCGGACCTCGCAAATCCTGCGGTAAAGACACGATGCGGAGGGATAGAATTCAGAACATACTAAACAAAAGCTCAATCGCACAAAACATGTGAAACATGAACAACCAAAAACAACACAAACAAGCAAAGCAACCAAAACAAACGCGGGCGCGACTACTCTCAGGACATATCTGGGCGAGAAAGGAAAGTAGTAGTCAGATGGTGTAATTGTGGAAGGAGGGCGGACGAGAGGGATGGTAGGGTGTGTGGGAAGAAGCGGGAAGAGGCGAAGGAGGCAGAGGAGGGGGGGCAAGGGGCAGGGCGAGTCGAGAGGGGAGGGGAGGAAGGGAAAAAGGTAGGAGAAGGAGGGGTAGGAGGAAATAGGAGAAGCGGCAGGAGGAAAAGGGTGAGTGGATGAGAAGAGAAAGTGAAGGTGACAGAGCAGGCGAAAGTCAAACAGACGAAACGATGAGCGCCTTAGCGAGGATGCTCACGACAGCGGTGGCGTTCTGCACTTCCTGGTTTTCGTCCTCCTCCCCCTCCCTGTTCACTGTCCCACTTCTGTCGTCCTCCCCTCCTGTTTCTCCTCCCCATAATTTTCAATCTCTCCCGTCAGCTTTCCCCTCCTTCCTATCTCGACCATCCTTCCCTCCATTCTCCTCCTGCCTCTCCTCATGCCCCTCCCCCTCCTCCTCCTCCTCCTCCTCCTCCGCCTCCTCCTCCTCATCCCTCTCTTCTTACGCCCCCCGATCATCCTCTTCCAACCCCCTCCTCCTTCGCCCACTCCTTCTTCATCGCATCCTCCTTCGCCGCATCACTCCATGTCCTTGAATAACACTCCTCCTTGTCGCACCCCCAGACGTGTTGGTGGGGCGGGCCGGGCATTTCGCTTGAGACTTCCCCAGCGTTGAAAATCAATCCTGAAGTTTGAAACTCACAACAGTTCAACGATGGAGGGCGGATGGTTTTCAAAATGTAGCTTTCGCCTTAGCGCCGCGCACTTTCGTGTTCGAAGTTCCCCGCCGTTTCACGGATGGAGAGCAGTTCCTATTGCATATATGGCTCTCGCCTTAGCGCCGCGCACATTCGTGTTGAAAGCTCCGAACTGTTTCACAGATGGATGGCGTGTCCTTTTCAAAATGTGGCTCTCGCCTTAGCGCCGCCGACGGTTGTCTTAAAGTCTGCAACAGATTCAAGGATCCACATGGTGGAAGTCCCAGGAAAGGTGGTCTGGCACAAATCAGGATTGTCAGGACGCAGCAGGAATGTTGATTCGCAGTGCTGAAGTCCCAGGACTTAGGCTCCGGCACGATTAAAGATTGTCATGACACACCTGTCACGTTGATCTGGGGCGTTGAAGTTCCAAGAACGGTGTTTTGGCACGGTTGTAGATCATCAGACTGTTGTCTTCTAATGGGCCGCGCTCCGACATGAAAGTAAGTTGTTGTAGAAACCCATGAAGAAGGAAGTTGGAGGGAGGGGTTACTGAAACATCATTGATGCGTCTTGGGCTTATACTCGTTATCCTCGTCCTCCTGGCTGACCACTGCAGGCTGGAAGCGATGACACCAGGCCAGGGCGCAGGGGGAGAGGCGGGCGGCGTCCCCGCGGAGACGCGAGCGGACTTGAAGATCATCATCTCCTGCGGCACAGCATCATCATCACCACCATCATCAGATCAGCATCATCAGCATCATCATCAGCATCATCATCAGTACCAGCATCATCATCATCATCATCATCATCATCATCATCATCATCATCATCATCATCATCACCATTACCATCGCCAGCATCATCATCACTATCATCATCGTCGTCGTCGCCGTCGTCGTAATATGCATAAAAATCCGCCGACCCTGTCGGCGTGTGTGAGGGGCTGGTCCGTTCAAGTCGTCATCTCCGTCATTCGTTGGTCGTCGTCTCTGTCGTCCCCTTTCCCTGCCTCCCCCTTTCCCTGGGCTCGTCGAAGCTCCCCCCTTTCCCAGGGACCTCCTCAGCGCGCCAGCCAAAGCGAAGTTGAGCAACGTCGTAATTGAGTCGAAAGGAAGCCCCTTCCCTTCGATCCCTCCCCTGCCGGGGGGGGGAGGGGTCCCCGGGGGGTCCCGCGGGGGGGTCCCTGGGGGGGTGGGTCCCAAGAGGGGTCCTGAGGGGGCGGGTCCCGGGGGGGGGGGTCAGATACGACGCCCCCCGTGGAGTCCCGGAGCCCAAATAAGCCTCAAGACGGGGCAAGAGTGCCCAAAGAGGCCCCAAAGACAGTCCAAGAGAACCCCGAATCGCCGAGCGATCTGTCCAAGACGCCTTGACGGCCTCCACGCGGCCCAAGAGGCTTGCAAAGCGCCCCAAAAGGCCTCCAGGAGCTTCCCCACGAGAGCCCCAATAGGCAAATTCATGGATTCCCATACGTTTTGGAAAGATTTTGGCGTTCTTGCCTCTTCCGCTTCCCGATGCGCCAAGACGGCCCAAGAGGCCCCCAAGATCGCCACGAGACGGCCCAAGAGGCCCCCAAGAGGGTCCCCTGACGGCCGAAGAGGTCCCCAAGACGGCCCAAGACGCCTCCAAGACGGCCCAGGAGGCCCCCAAGACGGCTCCAGGAGAATGCCCAGACGGGGACCCGAACGGACATTTCGAGCCCTCAGCCCCAAGAGGCCCCCAAGAGGCCCCGAAGAAGCCCCAAGAGGCCCCAAGAGGCTCCCAACGGGCCCCCAAACTGCCCCCCAGAGGCCTTCGAGAGCGCTCGGAAGAGACCCAAAAAAGCACCCCTGAGGACTCAACCCGCATCAGCGTCGTCGCTACCGCCGCCACCGCCGTCGTCGTTCCCCTTCAAGGACGGGTCCCGGAGCTCAAAGAGGCCTCTGGACCCCGAGACGCCTTCAAGGCAGTTCAAGAAAACGTTGAATCGCCGAACGATATGTGCAAGACGCCTTCGCGGCCTCTGGACGCACAATGCCTCCAGACGCAATCCCACGAAAGCCCAAACAAGCAAAATCCTTCGATTCTCGTCCGATTTCCACGGAATCTTGCGTTTTCGTTTCTTTCGCTCCCCGAAGCCCCCAGACAACCCCACCGGCCCCAAAGATCGCCCCGAGACGCCCCAAGACGCCTCCAACAGAGTCCTCAAACGGTCCACGGGGGCCCCATTACGGGCCACAACGCCCAGCCCCAAGACGGCACAAGAGGAGCCCTGGACGGCCCAAGACGGCCTCAAGAGAGCCCCAGGATGTCCCAAGAAAGCCTCTGGCCTCCTCTTTTTCCTCCTCCTCCTCCTCCTTTTCCTGCTCCTCCCCCCTCTGCTCACATTCCTCCTGCTCTCCTCTACATCACTATCCTCCTCTTGTTTCTCCTCCACATCCTTCTCCCCCCTCCTCCTCCCTCATCCACCTCCTCCACCCATCATCCACCCCCCACTCATCCTCCTCCCCCTGCCCCGCCGCCTCGTTTTCATCTTCGTCGTTTTCAGGGTCGGCAGCACCGGCCGCACGGCCTTCACGGTCCCCCTTGATGGCGTCGTCGGACTTCTGCGGCAGCCTTTCCGCTGCGAGCGCTTCCCACTTTTCTCCGACCTCGAGCTCCACCACAACGGCAGGCCCCCTCCTGCACGGGTGGAACTTCGCCTTGCACCCGATGTCGGGCCACTTCCCGCAATCCGCGCCGAAGTCCCTTTTCATGTTGCCCACCCACTCTTTCATGAGCTCGTCTTCTGGGTGGCTCTCCTGCGTCGTCACCAGCTGTTTCCAGCCCACTTTGCACCAGAACTTCCACTGGCCCCCCCTCGAAATAGGGCCGGGGCCTTTCCACCACGGCTTGTTAGGGAAGGCCAGTCCGCACGAGCAGGCACAGTTCTTCTTTGCGCCCCATCCTGTGCCCCTCATGCGCACGTTGAACAGCTGCATGTCATCGCTCCACTTGTCCACGGAGCCCAGCGCCTTGGGTTACTTTGTCTGTTTCTCTCCCGTGTCATTTGCCGTCTTGTAGTCGCCCATAACGTGCAGCTCCTTCTTATCTTACAGTCCCCTCTTGGCTGCATTCAGCGCTTCCTCGCCATTTGCGTCCATGGCCAAGTACTTGTTCATCAGGATGTCGTACTCTTCTGCGCGTCCTAGGGCATCCGCCATGTCTTCTCCCGCTGCGCTGAAGGCTGCGAAGATGCCCCCGTTCATTTTGATGCCCTCCAGCAATACTTTTGACATCTCCTTGGACCTCTCGATGACCATCTTGATCCTCTGATTGCGAGACTTGCTTCTGCGGTCCTTCCGCGTTTTTTTTGATCGCCTGCGCTGCCTGCATCTGCCCCGAAGACTGGGCCGTCCACGCGATGCCTTTCGCTGTCCTCTTCTGTTCTCGGCATTATTGTTCCTTCGCGATGCACCGGTCTCCTCGATGTCGAATCCCCTCCTCGTCACCCCACTCGATCCACTCCTCCTGCCCGAGGGCCAGCTCGCAGTCGATGCACACCCTCTTCCGTTGACTTCCTTTACCCCCCTGGTCTTCTTCACGTCCTGGCTCGTTCTTGGCGCGCCCCTTGCGGCCCTCGATCATCTCGCGGTGCCCGAACTCCTTGCCGCGGCGGCCGCATGGCCATAGCTTGTCGCCGCTGGTAAAGGCCAAGGCCAGCCTCCAGCGCCCTGCGCTCCAAGATATCCCCGCTCGTGCGCGACGCGCGCGCACCTGGACCGCCGCCATGCCTGATGGGCTGTGGGAGCCGAAGGTGATCGATGGAGGCAATGGTTCCACTCCCCCCCCACACACTGTCCGTGACCCATCGCTACATTGCGCACGCGATGACTGCGCGGCACGCAAAATCACCCACGCACCGCACCTCCGCAACAGCAATGGAGCAGGGGGGGAGGTAGATAGATATCGCGTCGTCACAAATAAAGACGCCGGCGACTGACTGGGACGGGAAGTCTGGCTGCTGCCTGGGAGGGGCCTCTTCCCACAGCGCCCCCCTGCAACGCCGCGCCCCGTCCTGTTCGAAACTTCAAGGCCAATTCGTGCATCTTATCCTCTGGGGCAAAGCGTCCGAGCTTGGCGAGGCGCTCAACGTTCCTGCTGATTGCCCCTCTTTTCTTTTCATCAGCTGAAAGATATCGTTTCGCTTGTCCGCTGTCGGGCGCCCCTGCTACACCCATCTGCCCTGGGGTGGCTTCCCGAGGGGCGGCGCTCTCAGAGCTCGGCGCTGGCGCCGTCGGAAGAGCAGCGAAAGCGTTCGTCGCGACAGCCGCGGTCCGGCACTCTGCCCCGGGTTTCTGCGCTCCGAGATATCCTCGCCAATGCAACTACCCCCCCCCCCATCTCCCAGCGGCGGCGACGCTGGAATTCTCGCCCCACCATCCACTCCAGTTCCGACTTGGGCGCCGCCGACTGATTCCGCGCCCCCCACGAAGACTATCAGCACCCCCATTGCCACCCTCAGATTGTGGCCCGAGAACTTTCCCAGCTTCACCAGGGTCTCTTTCGTGTCCTTCGGGGGCACTGCCCTAAAGTTGGCAGCCCCGTTGATTCCGAAATGGATCTTGCCTAAGCCCCCCCCAAAAAAATGCTTATCGTCCTCGCTCGGGTTCCTGTTATTGCTGTCGCGGGCCTTGTAGCTCTCGCTGATTTTGCACATCTTGATCGCCTCAGTGACCCCGGCTTGGCCGCGGGCGTTGTTGCCGCCCACCATCATCAGGAAGTCGCCCAGCGCGTCCATCGCCCGATCCATCGACGCCGCCACTGCCGCAGGGTCGTCTTTCTGCCATTCCGACACTATCTCCTGGATTCCCCCCTTGGGCGCCAGCCCCGCGCGGATGCCCGGCGGCCCCAGCAGGCGCTCCTTGCCTCTGCCCCTAACTTGGTTCACGTAGCTGCGCCCCGCTGCCATTGACCTCCGAAACGCCCAATTGCTGACTGGCACGAGGTAGAAGTCCGCTGCCACGCGGTTCACCCCTCTCATCTCTGCCGCTGAGCGGAGGGGCAGGCGCTGCAGCCAGTGGATGCATCCTCTGAGGTCGGGCCCCTCGTAATCTTCCGCTGCTTGGGGCAGCTGGGGGGGGGGCCCGCGCCCCCCCCCCCCCCTCCCTCGCCGCCCCCTTCCCACGCCGCGGCCGCGGCCGCCTCGGCGCTGGCGCGCCCATGGCGCCCGCCCCCTTGCCGCCCTCGCGGTGCCTCGGCCCCCCTTCCATCCCCGCGCCTGCCCCTCTTATGTTTGTCTTTTGGGGGGGGGGGCAGCCGCCGGGAAGCACTCGCCATCTCTAGGAGCCAAGACGCAGTAGGGCGGGCCCTGGATGGCGGCAGCGGAAGCGCACGTGACCACACACACACACACACACACCAAGATGGAGCCCGATAGCCGCAGAGGGCGCAGCCAAGTGAAGGAGGCCCCTGAACTGGGCGGTTCCAACAGCTTCTGCTTCTATAGAATATCCCGCGACTATCCGTGGCCCTCGCGACATGGTCGCTCGCATTTTTTCTGTCGCGAATGAGCTCAAGCACCTTGGGTATTGATTGGTTACCACTAGGCTGGGGATCAGCTGTCGGCAGTCGCGCACCACTCCCCTGCGCGCTGCAAGCGCTGCTGCCGCAGTGGATTACGCCCCGCGCACCTGTCCCTCAGCACTCGTATCCCAGTCGCATGAATACGGAGCGGATATGTCTTCTCCCACTGATACGTCTGGCAATTTATTATCCCATGTCCATCCTGCATATCAAAGTATGCTGGGTCCGCCCCTATCCACGCTTCCCAATCCATTGTACCCGTTTGGAACATTGAGATGTCTGAGTGCCTCTGAGGGCACCAGCTTCCCACGCCCTCGCCGACCACCACCAGCGCCTGGAAATCCTCGACCACCTGCTTTGTACAAGGTGTAGCTGCCGCGCATACTCCCCCATGCTCCAATCTCCTGACTCCGCAGAGGCGGTCCAACCTCGACGCTCCAAATATCGCTGCTAATACACTGCCAAGGTCCTCTGGATGTTTCGCCCATTACCGATGCCAACGTAGCCTGGGAATCCTCAGCGCAGTAACACGACGCGGCATCCTCCACCTCTTAAACACTTCCTTGTTGGAGTCGCACCTGGTCGGACCGTCCTCTTGGGTCCAGCTCATCCTGCATCCTGCCATTAATATTCATCTTATTGCCACGGTGCTGCCGAGCGCTCCGGGGTGGCGCTCCTCTAATCCATAAGCCATCAGCCCACTTAGTTTGACCTGCCCCTGCTACAACAGCTTGGAAAATCTCTGCTGCATTTCGTCGGTGGCATCTGACGACCAGACGCAACAAACTTGTCTGTGAGCTACCTGGCATCTCCCCCTGATCTCTCCCGCATAGCCTTGGCATCCTGGCAAGTAGGAGCCCCGCACTCGCCTCCTTCTCTCATCGGCGCGCCGTTGAACTTCTTTCCGTTTGGAGCTGTCTTGCGACGCCGTCTCGCCCCGGGCCTCGAAGAAACCAAGTGGTTAATGCAGGCTGGGTTTAGGCAATCCCCCCTCGCCAGCTTGCGCTCCAGCCACTCCGCGGTAGCGCCGACTTGCTCCGCTACCCTGCTCGCCTGAGACAGCCCCCCCCCCCACCCCACCCCACGCTACCGCCACCACCAGCCGGCGCTTCCCGACGAGCCGAGATATCCTCTCTTTCGCTGGCGCTCCGAGATGTTCTTGCTAACTCCAGTCTGTTCTCGCTTTTGGGCGCGCGGGCCCATCGAAACAACTGCGCGGATCTCGGCAACGTCGCCCATGAACGTGGCGCGCGAGAGTTCGCATTCCTGCTCCGCGACTGGGCCCATCGCATCGCGCGCCGCCTGCATCTCCCCCCCCCCCCCCCCTGGCGCCACTGTCGCACATATAGAATTTAAGTATCATTGAATTGCCGCGGGCGCAGGGCGAATCCCATCTGCGCCCCCTGCGTCGCCAGCGCGCGCACCCAGTCGTCGGCGCACTCCATGCTCGTCGCCGCGAAGTCGATCGCCCCGATGGCACGCGGCAGGTCCTCCTCTATCGACGTTTCGAAGGCCGATGCCAGCAGGAGCTCGCGCCCGCGAAAGCATTGGCGCAGTCGTCGTTGCTGGCGACGGTGCTTGCCCCAGCTCGTCTCGCTCTCCATTTCTCCATTGCGTGGCTTCGACACAGGCAATCGCACTCCCTTGACCGATTCCGACGCCCTCTTTGTGCCCAGCATGGGCGTTTTGACGTTTTCCTCTGCAATGTATCCCCTTGTGAAAAGCCGTTCCCATTGAGCAATGCGCGCGCGCAACTCTTCTGCCTCCAACCCCCTGTTTGTCATTGCCTGCCCTTGCAGAGAACGGGACCGACCTGTGCCAATCCAGCGGCGCAGCTTGGGATTGGCGACACTCAATGAGGATGTCCTCCAACTTGTTCCTGCACTCCAGATTCTCGTCGGCCACCATCACTGTCGACCCCGATCCAGCTTTCCCGCATCTCCCCGGGTGGCACGCTGTTTTCTCTTTGCCCTACCCAGCGCGTCGCCTGCCCTCCATCCCATAGGATCGCCCTGCCCACCCTGCACTTGTGCAATGAGCTGTACCTGGCCAAGTCCCCCGCACCCTCGCGAAGCTCCGCTGCTCGCATCTTCTGCTCCTCCAGCTTCTTGCTCAGCTGCTCAGGGCCCCGCAGGTTGACCATGAAATCCAGTATCATCCATCTGAGTTCCACTGGCACCCCCACGGGGGAACGCCCTCCTCGTCGCCGCCTTGCTGCAGCACTTCAGCATGTCTCTTGTGTCCCTCTCCAACTGCGCTCTCAGATCCCCATACATTGGTAGCGGCATCTTCTCAGCTATTATCTCGTCGCGCTCCTTCTCGTCCTCGTCTAAGTCCAGCGGCTCCGCTGCCAGGCCCCCGTGGCGGGGCTTCTTTTCCAAATCTCCCTGGAATTCCTATGTGATCCACCATGTTAGCGGTGACAAATAATACCTGTTCTTTGGCCATCTCCGATTCCTCTGGCACCCCATACGAAGTCAATGCATCTCGCTAAAATTGTCTTTCTCGCGCGACCCCCCCCCATCTCTCCTCGGCCGGTCTTTTTTTCTCGCGGCTTCCAGGTCGGCCCTGTGCTTCCGAAGCACATTTTGCATCTGCGCCAGCTCCTCCACGATTTCCCCCAGTCTCTCCTTCGCGTCTGATTCCACCATGCCCACCCTCAATTTCATCCGTTCTTCCAGTAGGGAACGTCGCAGTAGCTGGAAGGCTGCCACTCCCTGGCCCTCCTGCTCCTCCTTGACTTGGGCAACCTCTTTCACCGTTTTCTTCCTGCATCACTCCATTTATTCCACATCTGGTCTGCTGTAGGTCGGCCCTGAAGTTCTCTCCGTTGTTCCTCTGCAGTTCGCTCCAGAGGGTCCGCACTCCGAGATGTCCCCGCTAATGCTTCTCCTGGGAACGCAGCAGAATCCGCCCGGTTCGCACACCGAGAGATCCCCGCCAGTGCCACTCCTGGCTGCTGGAGCGCAATAGACTCCAGGCAACGGTCGAAAGCCCCCAAAACTTCTCCTCTCAGTCGTCCTTTTACCAGACACTCCATCAGCACATTGCGGCCCACATATTTGCGTCCCGCTTGCTGTCTGCTTGCCCGAGAAATGAAATTAACGTTCCAATCAAATGTCGATGCCCAGAGGGATGTGGTGTCTATGTCCTATCGCTTTGATATTTTGCAACTTGATTTGCCACTCCTCTCCATGCCGCGCACCTTCGCGCGCGCGGTAGAGCTCCTGTCGGCGCCGCTACGTGGTCGATCTTGCTCGTCACCAACTTGTCGTTTTCCATGCAGTAGTAGGCTGGCCCACAATCAAATAAGGTCGTGACTGCTGACAAAAGCTGTGAACACAAAAACTCATGAATGCGTCTCCGTTGTCATTCTCCACCTCTTTAGCCACTGGCCCCAGTGATGCTGCATGCTTGCCCGAGCAACGCCTGCTTACAACCGAGTCCCTATTGTCCGACCTGTGCATTCCCACTTGGCTCTTGATGCCCCCCCCCACACACACACACTATGATAGTAGACCAGCTGCCCGTGTCGTCGCACTTCTCCTCCACCAATTTCATAATTGCTTGATCTTCCACGATTTGTTTGTTTTTTCTCCGGTGGCAGATACGTCGCAAATATTCTGGCGTCGTACGCCCTTGCACGCAATTTCACCCCTGCTGCTCTTCCTTGTAGTTGAGCCGGTGGTGTGTACTGCGTGTGCGAGGTTTTGTCCTTCATCAAGCAGCTGGACACCTAGAACGTCGCACTGCATGCCTTAGTAATCAATTTCCCCTTCTTTGCCCCAAACTGCAGTGCTATGATTTGTCATATTCATCGGTTCTGGCCCTGCCCACTGATGCGTCCTTGTCAGCACAATCACATCCCATTCCCGATGTGCACTGCTAATCTCTTCCAGTCTGTCCGTGGTATCCGCCGCCCGCGGATTGTAGAATACCAGTTTCATCGATGCACAGATCGAGAACAATGCAATCGTCATCCGTCCTCCATGCCCCCCTGCCCCCCCTCTGGCCCGTGCAAGTGTGGAGCGATAGTCGTGTGAGAGAGTTTCAGAATAATCCTCTCGCCGTCGGGTCTTTAATTGCCTGAGCCTCCAAAGCCGACTGGAGAAAAGGAGGAGGCTGAGGAGGAGAGAATGCAGATTTTGGACCACAGAAACCAACACTAAGAACCCCGCCACGCATCCCACTGCAACTACGAAATTTCCTAATAACGATATCCCCAGTGATCCCACGACCGATCCTACCACATGTCACAGTATAAAGCCTGGGCTGCGCACTGCTGCTCATCACTCTGCTGGTCGCACAACACCAGAAGCACACCTACGCCCGACATCACCGAGATGGCACCCAAAGCTCCCGAAAGCGCCCAACGAGGGCCGCAAGAGGCCCGGGGAAGCCGCGATGGGGGCCCCAAAAGGCCCCCAAGAGGCTCACGGGATGCCCCCAAGAATCCCCAAGAGGCCCCCAAAAGGCGCCCAGGACGCTACAGCGGTATCGGTACCTTTTCCTCCTCCTCCTCCTCCTCCTCCTCCTCCTTCTCCTCCTCCTCCTCCTGCTCCTCCTACTCCTCCTCCTTCTCCTCCTCCTCCTCCGCCTCCTCCTCCTCCTCATCCTCCTCCTCCTCCTCCTGCTCCTCCTCCTCGTGTTCCTCCTCCTCCTCCGCCTCCTCCTCCTCCTCCGACCATGAGAGCGACGCTGCCGGCGGGGACGGTCTCCTCCCGGCGCCAGTACGTGTCGTCGCGCGGCGGCAGCCCTATCCTGGCCGGCCAGGCGGGCCACGCACCCTCGGAGAAGCAGGAGCAGGAGGAAGAGGAGGATGAGGAGGAGGAAGAGGAGGAGGAGGGAGGAGGACGAGAAGGAGGAGTAGGAGGGAGGAGGAGGGGAGGGGAGGAGGAGGGGCAGAAGGAGGAGCAATAAAAGGACGATGAAGAGAAAGAAAGGAGGGGGGAGGAGGGCAGAGGAAAGAGGGATGAGGAGGGAGGAGGAGAGGAGGAGGAGGAGGAGGAGGAGCAGGCGGAGGAAGAGAAAAGGTGCCTGGCGAGGGGAGGGTGAGGGGAAGACTCGGCGAAGTGTAGGGGGCAGGACGGAAGGAGAAAGAGGAGGAGGAGGAGGAGAAGGAGGAGAGGGAGGAGAAAGAGGATCAGAGGCGGGACCGTTACCCTGCCCCAGATCTTCTACAGCATCACCACCACCGCAGCCACAACAACTCACCACCACAACCACCATAGCCGCCTCCTCCTCCTCCTCCTCCTCCTCCTCCTCCCTCCTCCTCCTCCTCCCTCCTCCTCTCCTCCTCTCTCTCCTCCTCCTCCTCCTCCTCCTCCTCCTCCTCCTCCTCCTCCTCCTCATCCATCATCATCATCATCATCATCATCATCATCTCATCATCATCATCATCATCATCATCATCATCATCATCATCATCATCATCATCATCATCATCATCATCATCATCATCATCATCATCATCATCATCATCATCATCCGCATCATCATCATCATCATCATCAGCAGCAGCAGCAGCATCAGCATCAGCATCAGTAGCATCATCATCATCATCATCATCATCATCATCATCATCAGCATCATCATCATCGCAATCATCATCATAATCAATCATCATCACCATCAGCATCCTCATCATCACCACCACCATCATCATCATCAGCATCATCATCATCATCAGCAGCATCCTCAGCATCATTATCATCATCATCAGAATCATCATAATCATCATCATCATCATCATCATTATCATCATCATCATCCATCATCGTCATCGCCATCAACAGCAGCAGCAGCATTATCAGCATCAGCATCAGCATCAGCAGAAGCAGCAGCAGCAGCATCAACATCATCAGCATCTTCAGCAGCATCAGCATCATCATCATCGTCGTCATCATCATCAGCAGCAGCATCATCATCACCACCACCACCATCATCATCATCGTAAACAGCATCATCCTCATCCTGACCATCATCATCATCATCATCATCATCAGCAGCAGCAGCAGCAGCATCAGTATCATCATCAGCATCAGCATCACCGTCGTCGTCGTCATCATCATCATCAGCAGCAGCATCAGCATCGTCATAAACACACTCAACAACCTTGTCATCATCAGCAGCATCAGAAGCAGCATCCTCAATATCAATTTCAAATTCGTCATCACCATCACCACCACCAGCATCATCATCATCCAGCATCATCATCGTCCTCGTCATCAATATCGTCCACCTCATCATCAGCAGAATCGTCATCGCCGTCGTCGTCATCCTCGGCACGTCGTCATCTCGACTCCATGGTCACCTCCAAATTCTCCGTGCCCGTCCTGCTCCTTCTACGACTCCTCATCATAGCGTCGTGGACCGAATCACAGGCATCGAGTCGCAGTCTACCAGGGTTCCAACCATCGTCATCCTCATCCTCTTAATCGTCACCATCATCATCACCATCCTCTTAATCGTCGTCCTCATCAGCATCATCCTGATTAATACTATTATCATCATTTTCATCACCATCAGTAGCAGCAGAAGCACCAACATCAGCATCATCATTATCATCAGCATCCTCAGCAGAAGCAGCTTCATCACCACCACCACCACCATCACCATCATCAACAACATCGTCATCATCATCATCATCATCAACATCGTCATCATCATCATCAGCAGCATCAGCATGGTCATCATCGTCATCATCGCCAGCATGATCAGCATCCTCGTCGGCATCCTTATCGCAGTCGCCTTCAGATCCGACAATGAGATCCAAAGTCGTGGTTATCGTCACCATCATCGCCGGCATCAGCATCTCGACGTATCCATCGTCATCGCCTTCGTCCTCGTCGTCATCAGAATCATCACAGTCATCACAACCATCACCTTCATCGCTGTGCTTATCAGCCTGATCATCCTAGCCCTCCTCCAGCTCTTCCTCCTACTCCGTCGTCCCCTCCGCTTCGCCCTCCACATTCTGCAAACATTCCAGATGTGGACATGTGGTTCCCTCAATAGGGCTATGGCCCTCCACCTCCTTCTCATCCTCCTCCTCGTCCTCCTCCTCCTCCACCTCCTCATCATCATCATCCTCATGCTCATCATCATCATCATCGTCATCATCATCATCACCATCATCATCAACATCATCAGCAACATTAGCATCACCATCATCATCACCATCATCAGCATCATCATCAACTTCATCATTGTCGTCACCACCATCATCATCGTCATCAGAGTTATCAGTAATATCATCATCATCATCATCATCATCATCATCATCATCATCATCATCATCATCGTCGTCGTCGTCATTGTCATTGTCCCGTCAACGTCATCATCATCAGCATCATCAGCAGCAGAGTCATCAACATCATCAGCATTATCATCATCGTCATCAGTATCGTCATGAGCATCATCGGCATAACCATCATCACCGTCATCATCATCGTCGTCATCATCAACAACAGACTCACCATCATCAGCAGCATCAGCAGCATCACCATCATCACCAACATCGTCAACATCATAATCATCATGAGCATCATCGTCATCGCCATTACCATCGTCATCATCGTCATCACCATCGCAAACAAGAACGACAACAACAGATACAACAACAACAACAACAACAACAACAATAACAACAGCAACAACAATAACTCTTAGACTGATTGCTGTTATCTGCTCGCGTGACATCTAGCACGTATATCCCAATCCATCGATACCCGCCCTCCTCGTCTTCGATCGTAACCCTTTGGGGGCATGTCTTCTTCACAGGCCACGTGTATTCGACGCACCCCCTGAAACAGGGGAAGAGAGGATGGATGGAAGGAGGGGGCAACGGGGAGGGAGAAGCATGGGGCACGAGGGGCGTGGGGTCCGCATTCGTCGCCGAGCTAATGGCGCTGGAGGCCGGTATTGCTGCCCTTCCTGATGTTTTTCGTCTTCCTTGACTTCTGAGCCGGTGGTGGGTGGGTGACAACCTTGGCCCAATATGAAACGAAACGAAACGAAACGGGGAGGGAGAAGCATGGGGCACGAGAGAGGATAGCAGGAGGGGGGCTAGGAGCAGAAAACACGTGGCAGAACCAGAGAGTCAGATCGGGCGGGTAGACCCTAGAAAGCGGGTCATGAAGGCAGGCCGGAGCGGCTATCAAGCAGGCGGGTTGCTGAAGCGTGCGTCCTGTATGAATCGCGAGGAAGGCTCGAGCGATAGCAAGATTCCCCGCAAAATAACGTGAAGAGCCAGAGCGAGATCCTGATTCCGGAGTGTGGACGGCGCGGCGTTTCAAGAAATTGCGAGGAAGTACGACGCGAGAGCGCGATTCCTGCATAAAATCTGAGGAAGTCCCGCGCAAGCGCGCGATTCTCGAATGAATTGTGAGGAAGTGTCAGGCGGGAACCGCTGTTCTTGTAAACCTGAGGCCAACAACACAGTTTAGTGACACCAGACTTTCCTTGATAAAAAAGGGTACGAGCCCTGGAAGGGGCATCTCAATTGAACAAAAGATGATAAATGGTCACTGGAGGGCGAGGATCAACAAAAATTATTGTAGAATGAGAATTCAACAATCATCATTGTAAGACTGTGCGCTCTAATCTGTCCGCGTACTATTCAACACGTAAGTCCCAACCCTCGATACCCGCCCTCTTCGTCTTCAATCGTACCCCCTTGGGGGTATATCTTTCCTACCTGCCGCGTGTAGTTGGCGCAGCCCATAAAACAGGGTAAGGAAGGGAGGAGGGAAGAGACAAGGAGGGACAAGGATGGAGCACAGCAGAGATCGGCAGGAGGTCTGGAACAGGAAAACAACCGGCAGAACCATACGAGCGGATCGAGCGGGCGGATCTCTGACGGGCGGATCGGGCGGGCGGGCCCAGACGGCTGGGTCGAGCGCACGGGTCGATGAAGCGTCAGTCCTGCATGGATCACGAGGAAGTCTCGAGCGACAGCCCGACTCCCAAGTAAATCATGAGGTCCAGGGCGAGAGCCCGATTCCTGAGCGTCGAGGGCGCGGCGTTTAAATAATTTGCGAGAAGTCCGACGCGAGAGCGCGATTCCCGAACAAATTGTGAGGAAGTCCGGCGCGAGCGCGTGATTTTTGAATAAATTGTGAAGCAGTATCACGCGGGAGCCGTTGTTGTTGCTGCTGTAATCTGGAGGCCAGGGGCACAATCTGAGCCGCAAGACTTCCAGTTGTCAAAAAACGAGATGCGAGCCCCAAGAGGGACACTTCAATTGGAAAAACACACAGAGGGCACCGGGGAGGGGGATCAACAATAATTATTCAGTCGAAATGAGAACTCAACATCACTTCGTCTTCGTCAGCATCACCATCGACATCACAATCGTCGTCATTAGCATCATATTCAACATCACCATCGTGATCGTCAGCATCATCAGCATCATCGTGATCATTGCAATCACCATCATCACCACCACCATCACCATCACCATCACCATGAGCATCATCATCACCATCATCATCACCATCATCATCAGCATCATCATCATTATCATCATCTGTTTCATCATCATCATCATCATCATCGTCATCGTCATCGTCATCGTCATCGTCATCGTCGTCGTCATCGTCATCGTCATCGTCATCGTCATCATCACCTCGTCATCATCGTCGTCGTCGTCGTCATGGTCGTCGTCGTCGCCGTCGTCGTCGCCGTCGTCGTGCAGCAGCAGCAGCAGCACCTTTCAACTCACGGAGGCCCAGCACGCCGCGCTGGAGCGCGGGTCGGGAGGCCGCTCCCCTCAAGACGCTCCCCCCCCGTCTGCTGAAGGCAGCGCATGATACCCCCACCTGTGCAAGGCAGACCGCCGTGGTCTTAAGTAGGGCGTGTGCCCCTAGAGGGGGATTTTGAGCGAAAAATAAGAACTACTCAAAAAATACCCCAAAAATACCCAGAAATAGTCCGAAAATCGTCCCCAGACTATTTTTAGACTATTTTTGAATATTGCCCCCGTGGAGGGACATGCCCGACTTAACACCATTCATTTTGCACGTTTGGTGGCAGTCGGCCACCCCCGCCTGTGCAGACCGGCCGCCGCTGAAGAGCACGAGGGTAGGGGTGTGTATGCGGGTGAGGTGTCTTTTGTTGCTGCGGTCTCCTGTCCATGATCCTCAGAGCGCGGGCTGACGCCATTCAATGCCCTGGAGCCGAGCTGCGAGGTTGGAGGCCTTCGGTTCGACGCTCGAGGTTTTCTGGCATGTTCGTCGGTTCTCGGCGGTTGTCCAGCCCTGGAATGCCTTCCAGCGGCTGCGCCTCGCCGAGAGCGGTCTGGGAGTGCCACCCTCCCGAACGGCCGCTGGAGGTCCGAGTTATGAGCCGAAATCCACCAGGCGTCGACGAGGTCCAGAGCACCTGGAGCCCTGCAGTACGACGCAGGCGGTGCACCTTACGAGGGCCGACACCACAACTGGTGCTATCGGCGGAGCTGAGCGGGGTAAGCGAACATTGGGCTAACACACGTCTTGAGGATCATCGATCCTGTACCCCCTCCCTCGAGAGGGCCAGTCAGCATCGAATCTGGAGATCGGATCGAACCAGAGTATGCGTCGGGTCGGGCTGCATCGGGACGGAACTGGAATCGAACCAGATCGGCTGCTCCAGGTTGCACAAAAACGCCGATGCAGCAGGCATCGGGGCGCAAGGGATCGCCAGAACATCGGCATCGAGTTGGATCGGGCGGGCAAGAATCGATACCGACTCGGATCGATCGAATCGAAATGGGCCCTGGAGGGATGGATGAACGCTGGGGGGGTCCCCAGACCTCCCCATCTCGTTAAAAAATCACGGCGGCAATTTGTCACTACTTTCGGACTCCATGAGGCCCTGGTAAGAGTACCCAGGAGTCCCGACAGTTTCCCAGAAGTCCCTGCAGTCTCCCTGGGGCCAAACTTTCATCCTGCGTCGGTTTTTGTTCACGATCCCGTGGCCCAGCGAGGGCCCCTGGAGGCAAAAAACTCCGGAGTCATGCTCCCACGACGCGAACGGAGGAGGAGGAGGAGGAGGAGGACCAGCATAAACCCAAGAGTCACCAACGATGTTGGAACGAAACCCTCCCCTTCATAAGCCCCTACAACGGTTCATTTCCACAGAAGGACCTGTGAAGCATGCATGCCAAAATATTGGTCTAGGAAGTCCAGTGCCACGGATCAACCGAACTGTTGCGTCTTGACGATCCTGAATCGTGCCAGACCGCCACTCCTGGGACTTCAGCACCGCGGATCATCGTAACTGTTGCTTCCTCATAATCGTGAATTCTTCCAAAACACCATTTCTGGTACGTCGATCATGGGAACCCGTGAAACTCTTACGAATTTCTAAAACGAATGTGCGAAGAGCTAAGGCGAGAGCCACATGTTGAAACCACCCGCCCGGAGTCCGTGAAACCCTTTCAAATGATTAAAACGAATGTGCGCGGCGCTCAGACGAGAACCACATGTTGAATACCACCCGCCCTCAATCCGTGGAACCCTTGAAAATGTTCAAAACGAATGTGCGCGGCGCTAAGGCGAGAGCCACATTTTGAAAACGACCCGTCCTCCATATGTGAAACTGCTGTCAATGTTTAAGCTTCAGGGTCATAAGTGGTGAGGAACTCTCAGGCGAAACGCCCGGCCCGCCCTAAAAACTGGCCTCGGGGTGCGACAGGGACGAGTTATCTATGAGGAAAAGGAAAGGAGGAGGGGGAGGAAGAGGAGGAGGAGGAGGAGGAGGAGGAGAAGGAGGAGGAGGAGGAGAGCGTGAGGAGAAGGAGGAGGAGGAGGAGGAGGAGGAGGAGGAGGAGGGGGAGGACTTCTGTGAAGAGACCTCTGGGGTCCCAGGCTGCGAAAAGAAATGACGCCGTGGCCCGCGAGGCTGCGGCCCACGGCGCGGGGGCCTGGCCGCCCAGCTTCTGCGTCCGCCCCGTGCGGCGGCGTGCCGTGCTTGCCGACCGCATCCGTGCACATCAGCGCTGCAGGGGGCCCGTGGCGTCCAAACTCCTCCGCGCCTCCCTCCGCCTCCTCGCCTCCTTCCCCTCCCGCCGCCGTCGCCACATCCCACCTCCCCCCTCCTCCTCCTCCTCTCCTCCTCCTCCTCTCCTCTCCTCCTCTCCTCCTCTCCTCCTCCTCTCCTCCTCCTCCTCCTCCCCTCCTCCTCCTCCTCCTGCTCCTGCTCCTGCTCCTCTTCCTCCTCCTCCTCCTCTTGCTCCTCCTCCTCTTCTCCTCCTCCTCCTCCTCCTCCTGCTCCTGCTCCTGCTCCTCCTCCAACTCCTCCTCTTCCTCCTCCTGCTCCTCCTCCTCCGCGCATCCTTCTGCCGTCGCCTCCTTCTGCCTGCGCCGCCGCCGACGGGGCCGCGCCGCCAGCCGCGCGCGGCTCCTCATGACGCGTTTCTGGTAGGTGAAGAACTGGCTGGTTTCCCGGTTCGCCTTCACCTTGGGCGCGGGGGGGTGTACCTCCTGCTTCTCCTCCTCATCACCATCATTATAATCATCACATCATCATCATCATCATCATCATCATCATCATCATCATCATCATCATCATCATCATCATCATCATCAGCATCATCATCATCATCATCATCATCATCATCATCATCATCATCATCATCATCATCATCATCATCATCATCATCATCATCATCATCATCATCGTCGTCATCATTATCATCATCATCATCAGCATCATCAGCATCGTCATCATCAGCATCATCATGACCGTCATCACCATCATCATCATCATCATCAGCAGCAGCAGCAGCATCGGCATCATCAACATCATCATCGTCAGCAGCATCATCATCAACAGCAGCAATAGCATCAGCAGCAGCAGCAACAGTATCATCATCCTCATCATCGTCAACAACGTCATCGACATCGTCATCATCATTATCATCATTAGCATCATCATCATCATCATCATCAGTAGCAGCATCATCATCATCATCATCATCATCAGTATCATCATTATCATCATCACCACAATTATCATAATCATCATTAGCCTCATCACCATCATCATCATCAGCATCGGCATCATCAGCGTCACCATCATCTTCAGCATCAGCACCAGCAGCAGCAGCATCATCATGACCATCACTATCAGCATGTTTATCATCAGCAGCAGCAGCATCATCATCATCCTCATCATCAGCATCATCACCATCATCAGCGTCAGCATCATCATCACCAACATCACCATCATCATCAGCATAATCGTCATCAGCATCAGCGTTATCGTCATCCTCCACATCAGCATCATCCTCGCCAACATCGTCATCATCATCGTCATCATCACCATCACCATCACCATCATCATCTTCATCATCATCACCTTCACCACCACCATCATCATCAGCATCATCATCACCATAATCATCAGAATCATGATCATCACCATCATCACGATCCTCAACATCGGAATCCTCAGAGCCATCATCCCCACCACCATCATCATCACCATCATCGCCATCACCATCGCCATCAGAAACATCATCAGCATCAACATCCTCATCATCATCCTCATCATTGTCGTCATAATCATCATCATCGTCGTCATCCATCGTCATCATCCTCTTCCTGCTTCTCCTCATGAGTGGCTGGAACCGTTTTTGCTCAGGATCTCGTCCTCCGGCTTGTCCTCGCCACATTCTCTGATTCCTCCCCCTCCTCAGGAGAAAGAGGTGAGGGCACATGGGCCTACATGGTTAGAAACCCTGGGCACGTGCTTGCTTGAACGTCGAGTCCACTGTCAGATCAAGTTTCTACCGCATGGCGTTGCAAAACGCAACGAGCTGACACGGGAAGCGACGCTCGAACGTGTGCATGGCAGGAGGTTTGGGCGAGATGTGCGCGGTGCCGAAGCAAGAGCAGGCTTTGAAATGGGGACACCTGCGTGACCACAAGATTGAAGGAAGCCGCGCGCCAGAGCCCGATGCTGCAAGGGGACAGTCCTCCGCCCCTGGAACTCTCAGAAGGCCCGTACGTTGTGGAAGAACCCTCACGCGAGTGGTAAGACGTGTAAAAACTTCGCTGCAAGATCATGCAATGTGGGGACATTCCCGGCGATAGCACGATTTGCAAAGTAAGAGCATTAAAGTTCTAGGGTCGCAAAGTGCAAAGGAGCTCATGCGAGAGCCAGATTCTGAAGATGTCCACCCTACGCTCGTGCAGCCAGTCGAGGCTTTTACAACGAATGCGCGCGGCGCGAAGGCGAGAGCAACATTCCCAAAAGGTATCGTCCTCCACACTTGCAACTGTTGGGGATGTTTGTTCCCCACATCCTAAGGATGGGGTTCTTGTGTTTCCCCATACATGCGGTGTATCCAAAGGATGGGGTTCTTGTTATCACTCCGAC